ATTGTGCTCAGGCCCTAACTCGATCTGTCATATGCAATTACAACCTCACCACAATGACATTTAGTACATACTGTCATATGCAATCACAACCTCACCGCAATGACAGTTAGTAGTACATACAACGTGAACAAAGCGCACCTTCGAAACAACCAATCAGCATCGCGGAAAAGAGACAACAATTAAGATCGAGAGAATCGATTCTGATTGTTTGCACACGCTTTTTCAGATAGGACATGTAGCTCTGAGTGAATGTAGCGATAATTTGTCTTTAGATTCTGATAAACTATTATCAAAAATAAAAACAAAGGAAACTAGAAAAAAAAGAAAAAAAAATTGTATAGTGTATGCACTAAACGTTATAAAAAGAGTAAGCAAATATGGTTTCAGTGTAAACTTTATTCTGATTGGACATATAGAAAATGTGGGATAAAAAAGGTGCTAAATTATTTTTGTCAAAATTGCTTCTAAAGATATCTAAAAAATTAAGTTTTTTTCTCAATTGTAATTTTAAAAGTTGTTTTGAAAGTTTGATTAATAAAGTAAAAGTTACTTAAATTTAAGTAAAAAATATAACTTTACATTGATGGTTTTGTTAATTTTGAAGAGATTATTATGAAACTAGTTTTAGCATTTTGTTTAACAATTGTTTGGTAACAATTATTTTACTGTTTTGGTAACAATTGTGTTAATGTCTATTAATAGTTTGTTTAGTATTTTGTTTGTAAACAGTTAAAGATTCTTATTATAAGGAGTCGGCTCTTTCATAACATTCGATGGCTCTTTCAATACCATTATGTTATGAAAGAGCCGAATTTTACTTTTTTTTTAAGTGTGAACATATGTTTATTAAGCTTAGAAAATATGTTTATTAAATTAGATTTTGTCTTTTTTTTTATTACATAACACAAAGGAATAAGTAAACTACAAATTAATAAAACAATAAGCGTTGTGTTTGCTTTTTAAATAGTTTTTTAACTCCATACTAACACTGGCTCTTTCATGCCACTCTTCCTCTACTTTAATAAAGTAATACTAGTAGTATGTGGGAACTTATGGCGCGTCACAACAAACCCCTTTTATTTGTCCCCTTTACCACTACTGTCGCCAGTTCTCCACCACTTCGGTTTCCCCTTTCCGTCAGGGGATTCTCCTACTTTTTTTGTCTGGAAGTTACGCCCCGGTGGAGGGGTTAGATAGTTGACATGATTTATGACCTTATTTTTTATAAATTTTTTAATAAATTGTTTATAAATAAGTGGTTGCAAATAGAGTATAAATATATGGTGGTAAATAATATGGGTGTAAGAATGGGGAAAAGGAAAGTGCGAGTGTAATATTTTATTAAAAATTATTTTAATTTCCGTCTCTCATGTCAATACGTTTGTTGACGTATATTTAGTCAAATGTCTTTTCATATGTAATTGCGAGTCAAATGTCTTTTCATATTTAATTGCGTTTTTTTCTTTTTGTTTGTATATCTTTTCTAAAGATGATCCCACCCAGGGATCAAAACGTAAAACGTCTTTAAATAAAAATAATTTACATAACTTCACATCCCGTCAACTGTGTTTAGGCTCACATTGGCCAATTTACTTCCTTAAGTTTTTTACAAAATTAGAGCTTTACTTGATTTACACTATTGTTAAGAAATCATTCCATAATCGCAAGAAACTTTTCATCTCTCACATGACAAGAGTCATATATCTATTTCCCCTATTCAAATAAGGGCCCCGCAAAGAAGTCAACCCTTGTCAAAGATATACAAACCTTATTTTTATTTCATTCGGACCCACCGACTATCTCGGCCTGAGCCATAGACGCTTGCTAGTAGGGGTTTGTTTTGACGCGCCATAACGCACCAGGCGCTCATTGGCCCCTTCCTAACATTAGCTCCAGCTATCCCTGAACCTCGCTCATTGGAAGCCATATCGTACTACGCGCTCATTGCTCCTTCTCGGAGCCCGACGACATCCCCCGCACTTACAGCTACTCCCTCGCTTTCTACCCATGCTCAGCTTCAGCCCTTATACACGTTCTAACGCTCGAAGCAATAACATCGGACCAGCACTTATGCTTTAATCTAGATTTCTTTTTAATAAAATATTACACCTGCACTTTCTTTTTCCCCATTCTTACACTCATATTATTTACCACCATATATTTATTTTCTATTTGCAACCACTTATTTATAAACAATTTATTAAAAAATTTATAAAAAAAAGGTCATAAATCGTGTTAACTATCTAACCCTTCCACCGGGGCGTAACTTCCAGACAAAAAAAGTAGGAGAATTTCTTGACGGAAAGGGGAAACCGAAGTGATGGGGAACTAGCGCCAGTAGTGGTGAGGGGGACAAGTGGAAGGAGTTTGTTGTGACGCGTCATAAGTTTCCACATACTACTAATACGTTTTCTAGAACTATTCTATAACCATAAAATTAAAATAAAACTTTTATTCAGTATGGCATATAAAAAGTACTTACTCACGTGCTGTGCACATTTCTGCAATTTCGTCAGATGCGTCTACGCAGTGCCGAATACCATCGCATACTTTAGATTTTGGTAAGCATTGTTTTCTGGTTTTACATCCAAATTCATTTTCACTGCAAAAACCAATAACTCATCTTTGAAAAAGTTACAGTTTATGAAATTATAAAATAAACTAATATTCTTGAATGCTATTAACCGGCATTTATATTCTGAACACTTTTCACCCTTGCAATTAACAGTTGCGCATATGTTTAAATCTTCATCAGCACCATCGACACAGTCTTTAACACCGTCGCAAACAACTTCCTGATAAACGCAACCTCCATACAAACAACGAAACGTATATTCAGGACATGGATAGTCGCGACAGATTATTGCATTTTCATCGCTTGAATCTCTGCAATCTGCATAGCCTGGTAAAAAAATAAATATAATCTTCGTGATTTCTAATTTATCATCTATGTTTCGAAGAAATCATACAACACATCGTAACTAGTAATTTTAAAGCAAAACCATACTTGAAAACCGCAAGGGCCTAATATTGTAATGTGTAAATATACTAAATAGTACTTCACTTGCACTACACTTATATATTTATTAATACGTTACGCACGGTGTCAATCTCTGGGACTGACAGTGAACTTTTTGTTTGGGCGGCATCGGTTCGTGAGACTGGCAGTATGAAGTTTAAAATAACTAAAAATGTTGTAATTTTAATAAAGGTTTTAAACTAATACATATATAAATATAAAATCATTAAGAGCCGTTCGCAGGATGTTGTGCAAAAATGTATATATTGTGACGTGACATTTTTCGTGTCCGTCACAAGGACATAATTCCGGCCGGCACAGGAGGCGGTGGGCTTGTATATTCCACTGTTTTTTAGGTTTTAGGGAGAGCAGCTCATAAGTTCGAACACAGAAAGCGAGCGCGTATATATTGGCAAAGGCGCGTGACGCCTCTATTAAATATTGTCATTAACATTAAAATGTACTCTGATATTGTTAATATTATTTGCAAGTGGAGCGTTATTTGTTTCAGAACTATTTTGTATTAATGAATAGCGTTTCAGGATGTTGTTTTGTGCCGCATAAGCTGCGCGACGGCTAGTGTTGCCGTTCGTTATTAGCGAGGAGAGAGACAGTAGATCACAAGGCGAGGCGTCGGACAAAGAAGTACAAAGTAGATAAAGACGAATAGATGTACAGGGCCGTAAGGGCTCTGGAGGCATAAAGCGCGACGACGAAATCGCCAAATGACCAAGAAACGGGAGATGTCGACACTCCGAATTTTCCAAAAATCGGAGCGGAGCTCCTTGTGGCGTCTCGTGACCGCGATGCTAAAAGATGAGCCCGAACAAGCTCATCGATCAGAGGAAAGCGCGAAGAGCGGATCGAGAGGCACAGAATCAGGACCCGTGTCGATGAGTTGCCGATACGCACGTGGCCATTGTCACTTGCGACGCCGTGAAAAGAAGATCATGATTGGCTCATTATCTAGAGCGACGAGCGGCGCACGGCCGCGAGAGAAATTACCGTACCGGCGAGATTCATTGTTGCGCGCCGTGGTACTTGCAAGTTCACCGCCTAAGCTAAGTGCCGAATGACAGTGTGTGCCGGAGGGACGAGAGCCTGAAGAGAATCCGCGCGACCTTGTAAGGACGTGACAGGGCCGAGAGTTGCCGAACTGTACAGGCGAATTGCAGAAATCAGGTGCCGACAAGCGTAAGTGACTACTCGCTCTCTCTCTCTCGCATAAGTCGGTGAAATATTTTCGCGGATCGAGTATGCACGCGTTTCGTCAGCTCGATGCCGCGTTGAATATTATTGCAAAAATTAAGATTTAAATACGAGGATTACACGTCGCCAATTGCCGACGATTCTTAACATTGCTGCTCTCCCTCACCGTACCACGGTCGCAACAATCCGGGCGTGATATTGTTCGTAATTTGTTTGTATGTTGTTTTGCTTTTTTTTGTATTAACATTCGTTTCGTCGTACAGTTGTGAGCCGATTTTGTTGAGTCGCCGTTTACCCGCGCGAGCTACGAGAATATTAAAATATTAATATTGTATTTTTAAAGTATCCTCTCGGGAGCGATATCTAAGCTAGTTCAATTTTTTTCAATTGAGATCGGAAGGTGCGGGTCGTGCCGAAACTCGTGGCCGTCGGACCGCGACATTATATTGTGTGCAAAATCTCGCGCGCACCAGACAAAGACCGCGCGTATCTCGTCTTATCTATCGCCCGGCGTACGACAGCGCATTCCATCGTTTATCCAACGCCTCGCGCGGCGAGTCATATATTAGAATACGAGCGCACGGCCACGAGCGGATATTCGACCAACAAAAGATCGCGCCGGATTCTGCCGCCGATATCACCCGTTACTAAATAGAAAATTTCCGTACGACTTCGCTCACTATTGTCCGCGTATTTACTTTATATTTTTTTTGTTGTTTGTATTATTTTGATGTATCGCCGAGAATTTTCTTGGTTGGCCGCACGCCAAAATTATTATATCTGTTATTAAATTTAATTATTAATTATCCTCAACGAGCAAGTTTCCCGACTTTTATTTCAAACATTGAGCCCACGCCTTTCCGTTAGTTGAATAAACTGAGCTGTGCCGAATGACCTTGCCGTCACGTCAAAATTGTTGTTGAAATATTTGCTGCAAATTAAGATCTGTTGTGAGTGGCGTGATTTTCACGCCTGGCGCCCAACTTTCGACTTAGGTGAGTAGAAAAAATTTAATAATTCGGTGTGAAGACGTCCCGAAGTTGTGCAGCGCCTCCGCTATAATATCCAAAACGAGGTGCCCGTCACAATATATATATATATATACAAGATGTCCCACAACTACCGGATTTCCTTTTACCAGTAGATTCTCAAGATCATTCTAAGACAAAAATTTTAATACCAAAATGTCGAAGCTATAATATTTTTCGAGTTAGAAGCATTCAAAGATAACGAATGACATTGTCTGAAATTCGCGCGCTCAGGTGCGGGACAATGCTAAAGGCGCAAACAGTGTTGCTCCTCTTTTGTCACTAAAGCGTATGTTATAATACTGAAGTAAGAGTTTGCGTCATTTAAAATGTGCGTATTGTACTGTGACGTGGTAGTCGCGCCGCTCCTCTTCCCCGCCACAAAAATTGCACATTCCAAACGAATCCGAGAATGCAAGCCGTCCGAGCGCCAGGATTCCTCAGGGCTTATTAAGTAATTGTACTGTCGTTTTACGGTTTGCTTATTTTTTTTTGTATAACTAATTTGTGCCTCACCGTCTGCGTATCAACAAGGGAATATCTGCGATAAAGAGCCCTCGAGGGCTATCTGCTGTAAAGAATGGATAACGAAGCGAGGAATGAGCGAGAGAAAGAGGGGCGTACGTCGGTAAGCACAGGCTGCTGTCACTAGCGAATACGGTCCTGATTCAAGCGTAAAGATACATCGCAGGCGCTAGCAAACACGAAAGGACGGCGAGTTATAGCGTCAATAGGCGGCGTCACCGGCCAAGAAATCAAGCGGCGAATAGTTACCAAATTCTGACCACAGATCGCTCCAAAGGAGGAAAATCGGGATGCCCCCCATCCTGATGACTACCTGCGAGCGCGCTAAATCGAGCCGGCAAAGTGCCGCTAATTAGCCTCATTAATAATGGAAAATTAGTATTTGTAATTCGCGGCTATGAGCGATAGTAACTCTGGCGAACCGGAGCGCCGCGTCTGAATACCGCGTCCTGATTGGCCGTTGCGACTCAACTTGCGAATCTAGCGCGCTCCGGTATATCGACCCCGAATCGATCGCGATCCTCGCTCTCTTGGTCGCTGCCTCCCGATCGTGTCGGACGCATTACCGGATTATCCCGTTCCTTGCTTTTCCCGACCGGAATACAGGAGGATGGAACAGAACGTAGAGGCCGGAAACGACGGCGAAATTCGGCGAAGTGCTTTTGCGTTTTCTGTAAGCCACGAATCCGCGCACCCGTTGCTCTGTGTCGAGGCCAGTCGCGTCGTTTATTTAGTAAAATGTTTTCGCGGGCGAGGAGACGTCCTCCGCCATATTTGGTTAGTTGGTAATACGAGCGGCTGGAATCGGGCTTCACGTGGCACTGAGCGTTCGTAAGAGCAATATTTTAATAGTGAAATTAAGATAATAAGTTCTGGAGACGAGTGGAGACGCGCCAAGCAGCAATCATTGTGTTGTCGCAAAAGCCATTTTTGTGTATTACCTGTTTTGTTTCTTTTTTTGTAATTTTCGTTGATTGTTATTCGCAACGTCGGCAGATAGTCGACCGTAAGGAACGTAATTTCGAAAATTTCTATCGCAGTGTTGTCGCAAAGTCGCGTTTTCGCGTATGCGCACTGCACCGCCAATCAGTTTCTTCTAAGAGCCGTGTTTTTACGCATGCGCTCTTAAATAGTAGTATCACTGCCGTACTACTTTCGACATCATTAAGGTTCTGTTGGGACCGAAATAATTTTTCATAATTAACGTGTTTTCTAATGATATGTATTTTGTTTTTTAATAATATTTAAATAAAACAATATTAAGAAAATAGAATTTAAAAAAGATAAAAATAAATAAACATAGAAATAACATTTAATGTAATATTTTATGTGGCAGAAATCACAAATACCAACATTTGTTGCAGGGGTAAGGGAAACTGTCAAAAACCTTATCAGTATTCAAAAAAACAAACATTTTTTTATTTTACCAAAACTAAGTAATATAATAATATATAACAGAATATATAAAATATAATATAAAAGATACTAAGTTATATAATAAGTTATTACAAATAATTACAAATAATACATATTAAGTATATATTATATTACAATATATTATTATATTAAGTTATATCTATCTACAAAAAATTTCTTCTTTTTGAGGCACGTATCTAAAACAAATAAACTCAGCAAACAAAAATAATAAGTAATATGATTATACCTACAGTATGATTATAATTATAGTAAGTATGCTTATAAAAATAAAATTAATTGATGTGACTAGTAATATTTAATACTGCATTGTATAGTGCACAAATAAATAATTATTACATTGACTTACCTTTTTATCCTACGCTCTTTAACCTTCTCAGTCCTTACTGCAAGATTCCGTCAAAACTGTACATATCGGGGTCTTTCGTTTTTGTGCATATATATGTACGTTACTGACTTCTTCTAGCAGCGCAGTGCGCGTGCGTGAAAACGTGACAACACTGTCGCAGTGCCGTTTATATTGCGTGTTGTGTTGCCGTCCGGCCCGTGCTCTTAACGATATTTAAGTAATGTTTTTCGAAATTATTATATGCTAGTGACCGGCCCAGTGGCCTCGCGGCCTGAGTACAGGAGCTGCGAACCCGGAAGTTCCGAGTTTGAATCCACTCACCACCTAAGGATATTTTC